TAATGATTCTATGATTCTATGATAAGCAGTGATTTGGAAGAAGAATATGACAGTAAAAGAAACTGCATCACATTTTTCACATACTGTATTGAATAACCACTGAATTCGCAAGAATAACAGGAAAAAAATGGCAGCAGTAACAGTGAAAAGAGTTCTTTTTAAAATTTCTTCTTAGGTTTGAAATGCTTTATAGTACCACAGTATATTGAGTAATACCCAGATTAACACAAGAGCAAAATATGAGTGATGTGCTGTAGACCGCTGCTAGTTAGATGTCTTCCTGCTTTGTTCATCTATTTGTCTTCATGACTTGACTCTTTAGAGAAATACCCCTCTCTTTATTAAGAAATGTGTCCCTAATGCAACACTGCGTATTGGGCTACCGTCTGAAATAATTTTATTAATTAGGAAAGCCTAAGTTTTCTAGTAGGGTTTTGCTGATGTGTTTAAAAAGAGATAGTCATGTGCTTTGTAAGCTACGTCAATAACTCAGACACTTAAAGCGTACTTGACATCCATGAGAAGTTTTCAGCTTGAATTCAAAGAAAGCTTTGTAACAATAACTATCCACTAGGACTCAGGACTTGTCATGCCTTGTCTCGTTTTTAGCCTATTTTAGCTTGATTTAGCTGTATCTGCAAAAAATAATTAGAAACTTTTGCCGCATCTGCAATTTATTCAAGGATATACCATTGTCTCATTTGTCCTCGCCATAACAGCAAAACTACTCAGTGGTCAGGTCTGTTGTCAATCCTGTGGTCTTGAGCTTGTTTTATTTATGATTATTGACTAACTTATTTTAGCTTCGGTTTTGCTTAGCTTTTTGTAATTGTGTGGTTCTCCTCCCCACAGAAAAAAATCATACTGTATACAGAAGGACTAATACACTAAACAGAAGTAATCATGGCGTGACTAACCCCTTATTCCAACTGGAGAGGAAAGTGTGCAACCCATTAGCAAATACAGGACAGAAAATAATCCTCAGAGACCCCAACTCTGAGGAAAAAGAAATCTCAGTCTAAACTTGGGATGATGACAACTCACTGCAACCATGCCTTTGACGTGTGAGAACTTAACACCTGATGTATGGGCAGATGTTTGTGTCTACAGATTTTTTTGTATTATTAATGATCTTTAACAGAAATTTGATGATTTGGATTATGAGCATTAGCATTGCTGTAACTGGATTAATAACAAGCATTAACTTCACTAAATTCTAACTCTTTAATCCTCACATAATGGACATTTTCTTTTGATTGCCCATTAGTGTGTGAAATACCAGGTTGATATGAGACTGTCATGTAACAGATAAACATCTAACAGACTAGTAAGTCCTGTTTCTCAGCTGAGTTTATTATCTAGGGCAAAGCACCACACTAACTACAAACACTTACGCTAGCTCATACAGAACTAGCTTAAGTCTCTCAGGACGGTGGTATTTTGTGCCAGGTAAGTGACATCTACATACCAGGAACTCACATTCATGTGGTAACCACCTGTAATGCACTGAAGTTTGGTTTCAATGCTCTTGAATGCTAGTCCTCCATTTTATAAGTATGATGAACATTTATTCTCCTCCAAATATTCTTTATTCTTTTAATTTTTCAAATATTTCTTTTTCCTCCTTTCATTTAAACAGAAGTAGTTTAAATTAGTCTGTCTTACGAAGTAACCTAGTTCAGGCTGTGTAACTAGTCTGTTTTGTTAGAACATTATTTATTAGTATATTTGCAGAGGAGCAAAGACGTAATTATTTTTTATTTTCTTCTATTGTTGCAGTCAGGAAGTTGGTGTATCCTCTCATTCCACTCTTCCCTCCACAACCAGTCTACCATGCTTCTGCAGTTTCCACTCTTGAGGTTCTTCTGATGGGCTTCTAGTGCAACCTCTGAAGCAACTTTTGCCACCAGACTTTCCCTGGTCCTCCAGGGACATCAGTTCCCCCAGTTTCTAACCTTGAACTCCTTCTGTCTCCCATTCTCTATTAATTGCTGTCTTTTGTCTCCAACACGGCCTTCTCAGTTTTCATCAAAGCCAGCACTTTATCTTACACTAAGCTTCCTTCTATTATATGTACACTTTAAATCTTCTGCCATTTCCTATCTCCTTAAAATGAGCTTTTAAACTGAGCTTTTTCTGGTCCCCAAAAAGACAGTGCATAAGCTAGCAAGTGGCCAGTTACTCAGAATTAATGATGTGATTAATTATATTATGGCAGAAGATGAGTAATCTTAGCATTAGACCTAGAAGAGACTCCTACAAAAACTGTTTCTCCCCATTCTCTTAAATATCCTTTTGGAATAACATCTGTAAAACTATTATCATTTTTAAAATCTATATAATGTGTGCAAACCTAATTGCAAACACATCCCGTTTTTCTTCAAGGACAATGTCACAGGAGGCTAGTGCTATAAGGTTGGAACATTGCTGAACTTTAAATGAATTATATCAATGCTGCTGTTCTTGTCAGCAAAACTTGTGAGCTCACTGAAAAGTGAGAGTCCTCTTACATGGCAGTTACTTCAATATGGATACAGTCTAATATATGAAGAGTGATAGATTTTAACAAACAAGGAACAGAAACCTTTTGACTGTACTTACTTTGTACCCTTGAAGGTGTCCTCGGAGAGTTTTTAGTGGAACTGGGTCCCAATGCACCTTTGCTAATGTGCTGTTAATAACATGAACCTGCACATTGCCTGGAGCAACCATTGGCACTGTGTGGGAAGGATGCAACAAGTACCTAGTTAGAATGAGACACCACACGAACGTACTTTTTCAGAATGAATCTTTGCATTGCACTCAAGGAGTAGGTTAAAATGTTCCTATGTTAAAAAGCTGACCTCAGGATTAATACTACAGAGTATTATGAAGCCTTATTATCTCCAAATTACTTCATTTTAATTAAAAAAATAACTACTATCCCCCTTTTTCAATATTTTAATATTTTAGTATTTTAAATACCCATTTAAGTTACACATTTAGTTGCTTTTAGTATAATTGAGTCAAACTACGAAACTTACAGTCTTCCCCTGAATGTCCAATCACCTCTGATGGCTCTGGTGCATATCCCAGGTCATTTAAAGCTTGTACTTTTATTTCGTAGGGAACAAAAGTTGGTGTACCAGACACAATATATTTAGATACATTTGCAACTACAACAGATGTCCATTCATCATCAACATCTTTCTGACGCCAGCTGACTTTGTACTGGAGCCCTGGTCCATTAGACTGAAAACCTTTTAAAGACTGAAACGAAAATAAATAAATATTTTTTAAAATATTCTGAAGCACCTGAAAAATCCAAAGTCACAAAGGAAATATACTGATTCTTCCTTAGAATTTTACTGAAGATTTACCACTGTGTTCTGTGACAGAGCAGCACTGCTGAAATTTCAAAGCTATGCAATTTAGCTTTTACAGGAGGTCAGTTAGTTGCTTCTCATTCATTAGAAAAATCACATTGAATGGTGATCCTGCTAATTCTCAGGCAACCATACATTGTCATTTCTGTATACATATTTTGTTTTCAAATATTTTTTAAGTAGTGGAAGAGAGAAAAACATACTTACATCAACTCCCTATAAACAGTGTTCCCTAGGCAATGTTTCTTGCCTGGGATGGGAAATTGGTTTTACATGGCTCTCCTTGAGCTCCTATCATGATGGTAAGGGCATGATAGAGAAAACTTTTCCACAGAAGTTTTTTAGTGGAAGAGTGCACAATAATTTGGTTTATCACAAAAGTTGAGGGTAGAATTAGGATTCGCATTAGAATTCTTTCTAAATGTAAGACTCTATTTGAGATAAACCACCATTTACATATTTAATTTTTCCTAAATTGGCAGCAGAACATCCTGTATTACCAAATTAATGGCTTATCTTGAGAAATCACTCAAGGAAAATATGGCACCTTAATTTTTTTTTTTTTTCCATAATGCATGCAGCTTTTCCCTGAGAATTAAGATGGGGAAATGTCTGGATTTTACTCTTTTTCAAGAATGTTTTTAGCAAGCAACGCATTGGGTATTCTCATTGTGTGTTCACAGTTAGATCACTATTATTTCTCTAAAAAAATGCTACTCACAAACCTGAAAACAAACTAATGAAACCTCCAAAAAACAAACTTACCTCCCATGTTATTACCAAATTATCAGGTTCTGAGCCTACCCCATGTACATTAGAAGGATTTTCATCAGGGTCTAAAAATAAAATATTTACACGTGAACAAGAATGACTGCTGTTTGTATTCCAAGCAAATTCAACACCATTCATAGTGTAAATCAATCACTGGTAAGCAGGAATAGTTATTTACTTGCAGATTTTGTCAGGTACTGCTCAGATGGTTCACTCGGCTGACTTCTGCCAATCTCATTGACAGCTATCACACGGAATGAGTAGTTGACGTATGGAGACAACTTCAACTGTACTGTTGTCTGAGTTCCAGGAACTTCCGTCTGGTAATGCCATACCCCTGGTTCATGCAGCCCATCTTCATATTCAATCACAAAGTCTGTAAACAGAAATTGAATCCAACTTTATGTCGAAACCTGCAACACCTTCCTAGATCAGTGTAGGCATTTCTGAATGAGCTAATCAGAAGGGAGTGATCCAAGCAATGTTTTTAAAAATCATGGAAATTTTTAAATTTCATAAAGTACATAAAGCAGAACAAAAATATATAATGTGGATCTCAAAAGTACTGCCTAGGTAGAAATATAATAGAGACATTCTTACTTTTATTATTTGGTATTCTCACTAATGCAGCTACCTGTCAGGTAACACGTTACTACAAGAGCTCGCTCCCAGGTAGTGGATTTTAGTGTAACAGGAACCCTTGAACTATCACAGCATGCAAGTGGGACAAGATTGGAATTTTGAAGTAAAAGTAGTATTTGGCTGACAACTACATTGGTCTTAGTTGTACCAAGCTGACATAAGTAGTACCTATACAATATTAAAACTCTCCGAGTATTCCATTTTCCCCAATGAGACTGGCTTAGTGAAGAACTAAAACTTCTTTAAAGTTAAGAACCAGTGCTTGAGGAAGGTTTTCGAGAGCACTTTTCAGTATCTTCAAATTAAGTCAAGGAATGTATGTTCAGAAGCTAAATTTCTTGAGAGTTCTCTCAATCATTACGTCGATTACTGTTAAGACCCTACAGAACAGATAACCTCAGAGATAAATACGTTTGTAGAACTCCAAAACCAAAATCATATTCATTATCAAAGACAAAAGGACATTTTTTTTCAGCTGTGAAACAGCCAAAAAAACTTCCTGCTCTTAGGTATGAGATATAAATTTTGAAACACTTAAGAGGAATTGTTAGGATACAATAAATAAATGGGAGAAGAATGCATAGTCTGAGTATATTCCATGGAACCTTAAGTTTACATATACAAAATTTACATGAGCATCAAATGTTTGCATGTTGTGTAACAAAAATTTTGCCTTATCTTATGTGTAGGTGGGGACAAGAAGCCAGAATATGACTCAGAATACATTGTGTTTGCACTACTAAAGAAATTCTGAGGGGCATCTAGAAATTGCTTTTAGAAGAATATATAGAGTACCACAGAGAAATAATCCACAACAGTTTGAGAAGCCAAGATGTTCAAGAAGTAAAGTAGATAAGTAGTACTAATCATAGCCTTCTGGACTTAAGGCTTGCAGATTTCATCCTGACCTGAGTAGTAAGAAAGAGGGAGAACTGGCCCCAAATTATTTTCTGAGTTATAGCTGGTGGTGTGTGCTCAGAGATAAAGGTCTTGGGATGGGATGTTTTCTGGACCAAAGTCTTTGTTGAAAAGGTGAGAATATTACATGCTTTAAAAAAAAAAAAAGTACCCACAAGTTTTCACTACTGCTTTTTGCTTCCCCAGTAACTAGCATTCTGCCTGTAACTCTAATAGAACAATTAACAGGAGACCTCAAGGAAAAAAATTCTATTTGAGCTTTCAGAGAGATCCTAGCATGTCAATCATATTACTTATGTAAAGGAATCACTCATAATGAAGTGTTATCCTTGAGTCTTGATCTGCACTTTGAAGTGATAGCAGCAGCAGCAGCATAATAAGCTTAGTCACGAAGCAAATGCTTTATTTTGCAGGCTCTCAGGGGACCACGCAGCAATACAAATTGTATCATAATTATTTAGTCAGAAGAGTTCAATTTCCGGTATCAGAGTGCATGCAATATCTCGCTTACAGAAAAACTCTGACATGAGCCAACACCACCTAGTATTATATCTTTTGAAACAGTGTGATCTCATTCCTATAGAAAGGCAAGACTTGTGTCTTATGGTCTAGAAAAAATGAAAATACTGATACAAGAGTATATGAATAAGCTATAACTTAAATACAATTCAACTATTTACATTAAACTTCTATATATTATATTTTAAAAAGTATATTACTAGTTGATACACATTAGACAAGTCTGAAAGTTTAAAACTTCAGCAAAATCCCTTGGTGTTTCATTAAAATACAATCAAAATCTTTGATATGTTCTGAAATTTGTGAAATTCTGTTTTTACAAAACTTCCTTTCCAGATGCCTGATCCTTATGGTTTGTGTTCAGTGTTGATACTGACCAGTATCAAACCCTGCAGAGCAACAGTCAGTAAGTCAGCCTAACTCATTCATTCCAAACATAACTTATACACCGGTCTTGGTAACTTGTGGCAGTTATTAACTAAATATACACTGCATAAATAATTAAATAATTACATTAAGTTGCACATAATGAAAAAGTTGCCCTGACAAATCTTTCTGATCCTATTACTTTTTTTGAAAACAAACAGTAACACCCTTCTTCCTTCCTCCTAAATTCCCCCTCCATCCTCTCTGCTCAATATAAGCAAGAGTATCTTTCATCATGTTCTACTGGGAGGGATAACAGCATTTAAGATCAATTTCCTGTCTCAAAAGTTTGTAGATGTTTGTTTTCTCTGTCTTATGGACGTGCTTTATTCCTTCAACTGTCTGGACTAGAAAAAAACAGAAAAACTATCTGCCTTACATTTTCATAAAGAATAAGCTTCTGTATCAGTAGTGATGGATAATCCCTAAAGATATTGGTACTGATGCTATTTCAAATTCATGGGAATTACGAAAGAGTTAATGCAAGATGTTAGTAGCTCTCTCCTTCAGAAGCACACAACTAATGAACAAGTCTACTCTCTATATATTCATAAGACTGGACCTTGTCCGACAGAGCTCATATCAGTATCAACTCCTATGTTAACTAGCACAGGTTTTTGGATCAAAAGCCCAGCTCTTTAAGGCAGTAAATAAGTCTTTCTGCTTGGCTGTACAGTAGAGGACATTCAGTGAATTTTTGTTATGTAAATAAATGGCAACTTAGTGAATGAATTTACCATTCTTCCATGCTGCATACAAAATTTATCTCACAACTCTTTGGAATCTGAGAACAGTTAACGTAACGCTGTTAACGTAATGCAATAGATACAAACAAACGTACTTGTAATGGGACTGTTATTTTCGTCTCCTGGTATCCATGAGAGTTCAACACTTCTTTCTAGCTGACCTGTCAATTCCAAGTCAAAGGGTGGATTTGGTCGAGCTGTAAATCAAATGAACACAAGTAAATAATCACACCAGAGTATGTAGTTTCATCTTTGAAAAAATCCTTACATTCCAATCAAAAGAATTCCACAAATACAGCAGGGCAGGTCTACTCACTTTTGTAAGCATGACTTAATGACATCAACATGCAATTGTTACAAAACAGAGATAAAATGGAGAACTGATGTATCTGGAAACTTCTATACATTAACAAGAAGCCGTATTTGATTTTATCTACGTCTGATTGCACTGTGATATAACAATGTAATGAGATGCAAGGAATTATGAAATGCCTGTTTAATTTATCTTTGAATGATTATGGGTGTTTATCTATTGTAACTAGAAATATTTAATAAAACCTGGAAAATAAAAAAGCATTCATATCAAAGAAGCTTTTCTATAATCACTACAAATATTTTGCATGTGAATTCAAAACAAGTATAGTTCAAATAGAAACTAATTGCAAGTTACTAAGTCATTTATTTTTTGCTGTACTTTTAAAAGATCCTGCAATACCATGCAAGCTGTTAATATACATCCTTACAATGCATAAAGATGTAATTGTCCATTCCAAATTGCTGAAAATAATTAATTATATGATTTGTTACACAAAAATCAAGACTAATGAGTAGGTTCATTTAAGAATACATAAGCATTTTCACTGAATGTGATAGGATTTACACAAAAGTGCTTAAGACGCTCATACTTAAAAGTGTTTTAGGCATATTATATTGCATTTTAAAACCCAAATTCAGAAAAAAAGCTACCAAATTAAAGGCTGTATACTGTCAAATTTAAGACTGTACCTGACTGACAGATTTTTGGGGGAATTTCAGCTTTAATTTTAAAATCCTGGTCAATATGGTCCTATCCATTTTATGAGTGACGTAAAATGAAGACAAACTATGAAATAAAGTACAACAGGCCTTCAAAGCTGTCATCAAAAGCAATGTAAAAACATAACATAATTTGGTTGGTGCAAATTCTTTGATAGTGAATTAGCTTTCAACGAACAGTTGGATTTACCTTTTAGATCTTTCACTTATTATATAACTAATTTGCATTACAGTGTTTGCTATGAGAAAAACGTTATCACACTGTAACCAACCTTAATTAAGAAAAATCATCTCTGAAAATCATTTATTCCCTAAAATACAAAGCAGCCTGCACTGTAAAATTCCAAAGTCCAGTACTCCAGTAATGAAGCATTTGGTAAAATGGGATGAAACCACACACACACACACACAAACACAGGAAAAAGGGAAAAAAAGGAAAGATGTTGCACTTTGCAATAGGCAAATGAGAAATATATCTGGCAGATGATGTAGAAAGAGAACTTCGTATTAGTTTACCGTAAATGATAGCTGGAGTTGGGGGAGCAGCTGAAAAGAACATTAATATAAAGGATTTAATCAGTTAGTAGCCAAAGAAACAGAACACTGTAGGTAGTTAAAGACTATAATTATTAGAGACAAAGAAAAGTTAACTTATTTAGAGTAAATGGTTGATTTTAAATAATACATTGATAATTTTTCACTGAAAAGTTATAAAAGTATTCCTGAATATTTTATCCATTTTTTTAATAAGGATAAATCAAGAAAACAAATAAAGTAAGCAATCTTATAAAAAGCAGTCTTTTAAAATAAGTACTAGACATTTGGCATATATCATTCCTGGATAGGCATAAGATCACAGCACAATTTTAAAAGACAAGCATACTTGACTTTGAATCTCAGCTTGAACTCAGGTAAGAATCATTCAGGATATTTACTTAAAATTTTCTTACAAACTGGGAGAAGGGGCAAAGTAACATATTTTACAACAATTTGCAATCATAGAAACTTAACAGAGAGAATTTAAAAAGAAAATCCTTGAAAAGTCATACAACCAAGCACGCTCAGTCTTTCTGAAACATAATTTAGCTGCGCAAGAGATTCCTGAGATAACATGGTTATGTTCAAATACTCTGCAATGTGTAATCTACTGTGTTAGCTCAGATGTGATCCAAATAAAAACCTATACAGCATGAAACTGAATGTGTCCTGTAGCTACTGGACCCTTTTGTAAGTAGCTAATTCAAAGGCAAACTTTAGGGTGAGACTGTATTTTTAAAAAACTGAAACACATTTACAAATAGGTGACATTTCCTTTGTCCTGTCCTAGAAACCAAAACTGTTTGTGCTTTTCATTTTAGATCTAATGCTGTTTTCATACTTAACAGTAATTAAACACAGTTCTGCTATCATAAAGTTTGAGAGTATTCTTACCAACAACAGTAAGCACAGCACTTGCTGAAACACTGTCCAGAGTAGTATTAACTATGCAAGTGTATGTTCCATCATCTTTATCAGTTACATTCATAATGGTCAAGTTGTCTTTACCAACTAGAAACCTGTAAATACAATAGATTCAGCCACTGATTTTTCAATAACTGGTACTGTTATAAGAAACTTGCATAAGACATTATCAAATCCCATATACTTGTGTATTTCAGCAAATACCTAGACAGCAACGTAAGCTGTGGGACTATGTCAGCCTTTTCTACATTGCTCTTGACCATCTTCCCACAGTAACTGTCTATCCTAATGTGCTTTTATTTCCAAATATACTAAAACAACTTTTAACTATCTGTGATCTAGAGCAAAACAGTCTTCCATTATCCCTTTGGCTTCCTATGCCAATTATCTTCTCCTTACAACTGATATACATGGTCAATGTGCACAATTAAAAATTTTTACATCTCATTTTATTTTGAATTCTATCTTCATATTTTCATCACACTCAGTAAGTCCTTTAGTCACCAAATATGGAATAGTGATGATATTTATCAGTCATTTTTGGCAAATGTCAATAAGTCAACATATTCCTTTCAAATATCAAGAAAAGGTGCAGACAAAAGAAACTAGAAAATCAAAAATAAAGGAAAATTATTTTGTCCCTACCTTTCATCATCTGGCAGTTCATCATTGTCCTTCAGCCATATAACTGTTGGTAATAAGGTAGAATCATGCTTTATTATACACTCAAATGAAACGTGGCCATATCTCTGAATCACTTTGTATTCTGGCTGTTTAATTATCATTGTTGGATCTGAAATTTAAAATTACTATTAGATATTTAGAAAGTCTGAAATTCTATACTAACCTGTGATGAAAGAGTGACTCATTTCTTACCTTTAACTTCCAATTGCACCTCATTTTGTATCTTTCCTAATTCATTCCTTGCTACACAGGTGTATGTACCAGCACTATCCTTTTGAGCCACTGGAATTTCCAACGTTCCATTATCATGGAAAACGTATTCATTTCCACGTAAGATGCTACCTTTCACTCCCTTAAACCTTTATATAAAAAGTAATATCATTATCCAACATCATAGTTAAATTCTGTTGTATTTTATTATCAGAAAATGCAAACTTGGGACTGCCACATTAGAAAATACAGACAGAATCACATAATGAAATTTAAACTTAACTCTGTAGGAATAACTTAACTGTTGCTACGTTAAGTGTATGTAATATTGTATTAGTGTATTGTAATTAGCATATATTTAAAAATACACTATTTTAAAATTGTAAATAGTGTAAAATAGTTTTAAAGCTTTAAATGTTTGTTTCCATAGATATAACTGGCTCTTTTTACATAACTTAAGCACAACAGCTATAGCTTACCATTCAATTTCAGGCTTAGGTGAACCAAAATAAGCACAGTCTAGCAATGCGGGACTATCTGCGATAACTTGATAGAGTTTATTAGCAGGAGTTAGAATTCTTGGTGGCTCAGCTGAAAAGACAAAGATATCTGGATATAGATACAAAGATGCAAATACAAAATACTAAGACATCAAGAATGGCCTAAAGAATTGTATGCTAACATCCCTCTCTGAAGTGATTTCTGGTCTCAGTCTAGGTCCAAATATGTTCTACTGCCAGCAGCCTGAGGAAACGTTAATGTAGGAGAATTATCTTGTGAAAAAAAAATGCTTCTTTCCTGTTTACAAGTAATAGGGATGGCCAGCAAAGGCAATGATTTAATTTGGAAAATTTAAATCAGAATATACTTCAAGAAGAGAAAGTCCTGGGAACAGACTGAACTACCTAATTCTGAACAAACCTGAAGGCAGAAAGAAGCTAATACGTATTTTTTGTGAAACACCTACATTTTTTAAAGGAACCATGGAACCAAAGTGAGTTCTTTCATTTAAAAGACAGTGTCCCTCAATCAAAAGATCTACCAGCTCCTGCAAGAGAGTCTTTAGAGGCCATTCTGCCTAGAATTTTGCTACTAGCTTTGTTAAATTCAGCGAGAAGAATTAGAGAGGCCACAATGTCTCGTAACTAGAAACACATTCTTGGGAGGCCTTCAAGACAAATGCATAATCATGTCCCCTTGCAAGAGCAATTTAGAGATCATCTATTTAACTAATCCAAAACACCCGCAATCAATGAAAGTGTACTAACTTAAGGAATATTAATACCTGCCTTATTTGTCATGCTCCCATTTGCTTGATTTACATAAACAAACAAACAAAAGAGATAAAATTTCTTGCAAGTTTTCTCCAGCTTTCACGACTATCCTTCTTACTTAGGAATAGTGAAAGTGAAATTCAGGAATATCCTACAAAAAACAAGGTATGTATACCCTTGCCTTTTATAGGGCTCAGGAAATACGTCCATTCCCACTGAAGTCCTCAAGCAAGGCTTGAGCATGCAATCCGTGCAGTAGCAGGAGACAACTGAATATGCAAGAAAACTGAAAAATAGAAAATCTCTTTCTTACCCAGAACATTCACAAATGCGTTTGCTAGCAAGTATCCATATTCATTAGAAGCATTGCACTGATAGACAGCACTTGACCTTTCTTGCACATGTGAGAAAATAATGGTATCACCATCTACCTTTCTGCTAGGATCTTCTGGGGCAACTGTTGGTGTAAAGAAAAAAAAATTTGTTTTTCCTAAACTGCTGTTGGATGATACGTTTCATACTTCTTAAAAGAAGAAACAATTTGAAAGACCAATATGCCTTTTCTTCTATTTTCCTGGGTGACTGTTCACTGGTTAAGATGTGAATTTCAATATGATTAAGGAAGTTCTTCTAATTCTACAAATATTTAACTCAGGATGGTAGAGTTTCCATTTTTTGAGGGTGTTTTTCAAAGAAGTGAAGCTGAGATCATATTTTGCATGCATTACAGAGGAAAAATACTGATATGACAAGATTCAGGCAAATACAGACAATACCTAGAAAAAATAAGGAAGTATTTCTGAGTGTCAAAAGAAAATTATGTTAGAATGACATTGGAACTTTACAGTCCTCTGTGACTTAAGGGTGCCAGCTTTTCAAATCAGTTGTTATACCATAAATAATTATCCAAATATAAAAATAGCCTTACTCAGTTGAAAACTATCTCAGAGTGAAACGTTAAGTAATTCTTTCACACAAAATCAAGAGTCTCCACAAGACAGTAATTCAGTAGGTGGCAGTCTTTCCCTTTTATAAGAATTATACAGTGCCATTTCCTCAACTGTTCTGTAGTAGCCTGAGCTGTCAAAATGCTCTTGCATCCCAGAAGAATCGAGAATATAACTGAAAATAAAATTCTGATATACTACTGAAGAATAATAGCTGTCAGTTATGATACAACTGGATGGAGTTAGAGAAGTATAACAGAGAAAAAACTTAGCTTGTAACACTGCACTGCATAAAAAGGCACAAACTGTAGTTTAATATTTTAAGTAAATATTAAATCAACACAGCAATGTATTATTAATATTGAAACTTAATGGTGACATTATTTATGTATTAATATTAAAAATAAATGCATATATACATAAATAAATGTATCATAGTTTGGTTGCATCATCAAAATTGACACCCTAATATATTATTGGAACTTGAGAAAATAAGTATATTTGTGGAAGACATTTTCATACAAAATCATTTCTCATTTCTTTGGATTCATAGAAAAGATGAATTAACCAAATTAACATCCTTTTTTATTTAAGTGGCAAAGCCTTTTGCTTCAGACAGTATCTCAGTACTCATCCGTAAAGAAAAAGGAGAAATTCCTTCCATATTTTCTCAAACCTACTGAAGTATCTGTTACTGAATTCTCTAAGAGAGAAGAATGAAAGGGGACAGATGAAGGGGACCACGGTTCTGTGCTCCTGCTTAAGGGTACTTCCATCTTGGGAGAACTCTAAGGCCATTTTGCATGTAAAGCAATTACATCAATTTCCAAACAGATGCCTCAAGAACAGTTTTCGACTCCATTTTTAACTCCTATCTTCCACCAATCTGAGTTCAAATCAATATCACAAATTCAAAAATTTCAGAAAGGAAGAAGAAGGTACTACTGGAATTTTAAATGCTTATTCTCTGGGCTTCTGGATTGCTGGCACTTATTTTTCTCCTCTTTTCTTTACTTCCTATTGTGTTCCATGTTCTGCATTGCTTCCTATTCTATGTAAATGCCATTTTCATTAAAAGATTCATGGGCTGAAAATAGACGGAGCAGGTGAGTAGCCCAGCAGGCAGGCCAGTCAGCTGCGAGAAGTGGTCTGTTTCTGCATACAAATCACTGTTAAATGGAAAATACGCACAACCGCCCTCCCAGGAGGTAGGAGATCAGCCCACGGCCGTTCCAATCAGGGCTAATTCCTGCTCCGGGGCTCTGGGCTTCCCTCCGCTCGTGCCCTCTGAATCCTGCAGCGTTTTCTGCACACAGACAGAGCTTCAATGGGTGCACAGACTCCCCACCTCACACACACTCCCATACTTAATACCTTACAGGCTGACAGGTATACCCTTCAGAGAGATAGAAGCCATTAGTTCAATCCTCTGTGACTGAAGAAGGAACTGGATCTTAAAAGAATGATCTAACCATTAAATTATCATATAAAAAGAAGGGTAGCATCTTCCCTTCCCACTGCCGTATTTAAGGAAAAAAACAGATATCCCTCTTCACTTATTTGAAGGAAAGTAGGTAGGTGCCTGTTCTCAGAAAAGGGCTTCAAGCTGTGGATCCCAAGAGGAAAAAAAACAGAGGGAAGTGTCAGGTTAGTCAGTGCTTCCTTTTGACTGGTCTAGCCACTTGCATGCTGAAGGGCACCGATTTTAGAAAGCTCCCTGTTGAGACTGGCGTCCATTCAACAGTCTGTCTTCTGACATACCTCATCCTCCCACACAACACCAACAGAACCTACACGTCTTTGCCCATGTACTACACTGTGTTTTGCAGGGCCAGGCCCTAAAAGTTAGATGCTGTATCATCCAGCTGCTTTAATGATCTTAAGCACGTACTGCTGCACTCACACACACAGAATGGTTGAGGCTGGAATGGACCTTTGGAGGTCATCTGGGCCAACCCCCTACTCAAGCAGTGTCACTTAGAGCCAGTTGCCCAGGACTGTGTCCAGATAGGGGAAGGATCACTTCCCTCGATCTGCCGGCAATACTTTTGTCTAATGTAGCCCAGAATAACATTAGCCTCTTTGCCACAACGGCACATTGCTGGCTCATGGTCAACTTGGTGTCCACCAGAACGTCCAAGTCCTTTTCTGCTTCGCTACTTTCCAGCTGGGTGGTCCCGAGCATGTACTGGTGCATGGGGTTGTTCCTCCCGAGGTGCAGGACTTTGCCTTTCTTGTTGAACTTCACGACGTTCTTGTCAGCCCATTTCTCCAGCCTGTCAAGATCCCTCTGGATGGTAGCATGACCCTCTGATGTATCAGCCACTCCTCCCAGTTTTGTGTCATCATGAAGGTACACTCTGCCCCATCATCCAGATCATTAATGAAGATGTTAAACAGCACCGACCCCTGGGGTACACTGCTAGTTACTGGCCTCCAACTAGACTTTGTGCCACTGACCACCATTCTCTGGGCCTGGCCATTCAGCCATTTTTTTATCCACCTCGCTGTTTGCTTATCCAGCCCATGCATCAACAGCTTGTCTATGAGATTCTTACCGGAGACAGTGTCAAATGCCTCACTGAAGTCCAGGTAGACAATATCCACTACTCTTCCCCTATCTACTAGGCCAGTCATTTCATCATAGAAATGTATCAAGTTGGTCAGGCATGATTTCCCCTTGGTGAAGCCATGCTAACTACTCCTGATGGTTTTCTTGTCCTTAATGTGCCTGGAAATGGTTTCCAGAATTAGCTGCTCCATCACCTTCCCAGGGATCAAGGTGAGGCTGACCAGCTTGTAGTTCCCTGGGTTTCTCCTTCTTGCTCTTTTTGAAGATACGAGTAACATTTGCTTTCCTTCAGTCTTCAGGCACTTCTCCCAGTTACCATGATCAATCAAAGATTATCAAGAGTGGCCTTGCAATGACATCTGACAGCTCCCTCAGCACTTGTGGGTGCATCCCATCAGGGCCCACAGACTTACGTATGTCCAGTTTCCTTTAGTTATTCCTTGATCTGATCCTCTTCCACCGAGGGTACATCTCATTCCAGCCTTTCCCCCTGGTCTCTGGACCTGGGATTCCCGAAGGCCAGCCTTACTAGTAAAGACTGAGGCAAAGAAGGCATGCAGTACTTCAGCCCTTTCCATGCAATTTTTTTTTTATTTTTCTGGGGAAAGAGAGCGATGGAGGGCCACTCAAGCACTGTTTGTTTGCCTTTACAAGGATTCTGGTCACATTACAGGATAGCTGCACAAAAAGGAGAAAATGCTTTTGACATGTTTGACAAATCTGAATTCGGCACTGACAGGCAAAATAGCAAAGAATTACGTAATACTTAAAATGGGCTTGTACAATTGGGGTAATGAATGATGATTCGCTATAGGAGTTCTGCTGCTGTAATAGACAGTTGAACACGTGCCCTGTAACAGCCAACATTTACTCCCAATAACATCGTGTGTCAGCTTATGAACGTGTTTATGTCCTTTCTGGACAAAGACCTGATTGCCTGGTTTCACCTAATTTTTCCATCACTTTGTATAATAAGACAGCTTCTTGACTCTATAGCCATGTACAGCATATTCCTGTACAGAGAAGGTATAGCCTCCATCAGATACTTTTGTCACAGTTAGTCACCAGCACCCTGAATATCTTCTGTTCATATGAATGCATACCTCCATCTGTTTCATAAACTTCAGACAGCCCAAGCAATTACTTTTGTTAGTATGTTTAAATAACCACTATGGCACCATTATTTTTTCCTGGAAAAAAAGACAGAATGAAACGTGCTCTCTGAACAGAAGTAGTTAAAACACACTATTATGCTTAAAACTGGAAGGAAAAAATCCAGATTTTGTTGAGATGTTTTACCCTTTTCTGTTGAAGTGTTTCATTTTTCTGATCAATTTTACTTGCTAGTCAATATGCATTTATGCAAATTTAGGAAGCTAAACACCATGAAGAACAGAACAACTGTCAACTGATGATGCGGTATATAATGTTATCAGCCCAAATACACGATACAAACTTCAGCCTGATCTGTATGAAAGATACGTATTTGGGCAGAAAATTATTAAGACATGAGATTGGTCTACCGACTCTAAATTCTTCAGCTCAGATCTTTAAGCTCTGTGTAAAATTGGGAAAAAAAATCCATTGCTTGGAGTTGTGGGTTTTTTTAACTTAAACATAAAAAGAAAGTTTCTATGGTGAGGGTGGTCAGACCCTGAAACAGGATGCCCAAGGAGTTGATGGAGTCTCTGTCCTTGGAGATAATAAAAATCTGTCTGGACGCAGTCCTGATCAACCAGATGCAGATAACACCCTGCTTCAAGCAGGCAGGTTGGACTAGATGTTCCTTTCACGCTCAACTATGCTGTGATACTGTGGTTTTAAAATAACCTAACAAAAAATGTAGATTGAAAATAATTCACTGGGAAGGAGGTATATACCTTTGATTGTGATTTTGTAATTTGCTTTTGTTTAAAAAATCTGATAATGTGAAAATCA